AACAAATATAATAAAAATACTCTTATTATAGCGAATTGGCTAATCAAATCTCTTAAAATCTTTACTATAGTCTTATAGCAAAGTTGAGGTCTAGGACATAGAGTTCGTTATAAAAAGAGTTGACTGTACATGTAAATTTTTTCTATAATAAGTTGTAAAGTATAAACAGTATAGGACTTTCAGATAATATTATGAGAAATTTTACTTATATTTTTAATTATCTTTTCATATTAGTATTATTATTTATAGTAATTATATTAATCTTTTCTTTTAACTTTTATAGATTTAATAATTTAAATAAAATATTATTAATATGATCTGCAGTATAAATATTAAATGTAAGTGATTGTAAAAATAAGCTTATATAATTAAAATTTTTTATTTAAGAAGTAATATATAATTTTAATATAGCTTTGTTAATTCTGAGCAATCCAAAGATTAGTAGTTAAATTGACCGAGATTATATAAATTGAATATATTGAATAATTAAAAGATATATATAATTATATACACAATAAATAATTTATTTTGCTAACTTTATATCAGATACCATAAATTTTAAATCAAAATTATATAGAAATTTTTTAAAATATATTTATTTTAAACCAATCAATAAATAATTAATAAAATTGCTTTTACTTAGCTTCTTTATATAGTTTATTTTATTAGTAAAAGTAGTTTGAATCTATTTTTTAAAATATTAATTTATATTTATTTTTAAACTATTATTAAAAATAGCACTATAATTAATTACAACTAGTAATAAATAAGCATCATAGTATTGTAACTAGTTATAACACTATCTTTAATTATTATTATAACAAAAAGATTTAGGCATACTAATTTTTCTTTTACATTTATTTTTCAAGTATTTTTATTTTTTAAAATGCATTTTAATCTTTATTTTTTAAGTATTTATTAGATAGTAGAATAGTTTAATTAAATTCTTTTTCTTTATTATCATTATTAATTTAAAAGAATATATATATAAAAATAAGATAAAAATATAATTTTAAAATTTATACAAATAATACAATCATACTTTGAAGAAATCTGATGTTTTATACTTATTCGTCATGTGTTCAATTTCTATTTATCAGAAAATTACGTCGATTATATTATTGCATATTATGTTGCAAATTGTAAAAATGTTACTGCTAATTTATTATTAAGCAGTTTCAAAACATTAAAGAAATATAATAAATATTTTTACATAATAGTAAATAATACTGATTATTAATCATTAAATTTTTTTCGTGATGTGTTAGGAAATAATTAATGATAAATTTAATAGTCAGTTTATTAATTAATTTTATATATTTCTAAAGTATAAATTTAGTAAACGATAAAATAAAGCATTATATTGTAAATTTATTATTATAATTATAAAATAAAAATAAAGTATTATGCATTATATAGAATTTGTTAAATGTTATTATTATAAAAATGAACAATAAAAAATAATACATGCGAAAGTTTTTTATTACAAGTGTAAATTGTTAGTAAAGTTTTTGTTATTTCACGATAGTACTCTGATATCTTTTGTCAATTTATCTAAAGTCTTTGTCTTTTCAGTATCTTTTGCTGAATAATTAACAGTAAATGCATGCTGAATAAATTTACACAGACGAAATATCAAACCTTGAGCCTGTAATTCATTCATATTAGTAGTATTTAATCATTGACTTAATACATGAGCCGTCATAGACTTATTCACAAAAGAGATAATTTCTTCTTTTTGTAATGAGCTTGTTGTAGGTCTATAATTAATAAATATTATTAAATAAAAAAATAAATAAAAAGAAAATGAATATACTAACAAGATTCTTTTTTCTTTAAAATCCTCAACCAAATTTTTGACATCATTGACTAATTTGTTATGAAAGTCACCAAAGTATCTATTTGCAGTTTGAAGCCATTCAATACTTTTTGCCAAATTGAGTTCATATTTAAAAACTTGTTGTATTAATTCTTCAAAGACACTCTTTGGCAGATTTTGAATACGTAAAAATAGACATTTCAATTCTTCTAAAAAGTTACAGCAAGCTTTTATATTATTCCCTTGATTTGACATTATATTCAACGACCCAGTTGAAATAGAATACATAAATCATGACCCTTCTATAGCTGGAATTTGCATTGACAAATGCATGTTATTTGCCAGCTGTAAAAAATTAGGAATTATATATAACCACAAACAAAGCTAATAAATTATCATTTCATTAAATGAAGAAAGAATGTTCTTGTTAATTGTGTTAGAATGATGAGGTGTATCGTCAAATGTATTATTGAGAATATTCATTATATTTGCTCTTGACTCTAAAGGTGATGGCCTCATAGGTTTTGAATATAATACTCTGTTTGAGGGATCATAATAATCAGGACTATTTGTTCTTCTCTTTAAAAAAGTGAAATAGTCATTATCTTGACTATTGACATCTGATAAAGATCTTGAATTTAGTCTTGAATTCAATCTTGAAGGAATGAAATAGTCATCATCTTGACTATTAATATCTAATAGAGGTCTTGAATTCAATCTCAAAAGAATCTTTTCTTGACTATTAATATCTAATTGAGTTGAATTCAGTCTTGAAAGAACTCTTCTTGAAAATGTAAAGTTATTTTGACTATCGGTTCTTGATTTTAAAGCTGATTTTAGTTTAAAGAACAAGAATTCATTTTGATTATTAGCTCTCAAATCTAAAGATACCAGTTTAGAAATTATTTCTTCTAGAACTGATATTAATCTTCTATTTATTTCTATTTCTAGAGCTGACATTAGTCCAGTAGCTTCTTTTTCTAGAATTGGTATCAGTTTTGAAGGTGTAATAGCTTCATAAGCCTTATTACTATTCTCTTTTGAAACGTTATTATCATTCTTATTGTCATCTTTATTTGAATTATTATTATTCTTATTTGGAATATTATTATCATCTTCGTTTGAACTATCACTATCATTCAAAAGTTTATCGATTATCTGTGATTGTGGAGTAATAATTTTTTTCTCTTTATAATTCTTATAACTTTGTTTAGTTTCTTTAATAGTATTACTTTCACGATTATCTATAGCTTCAGTTTTTTGTACTTTCTTTTTGTGACCTCTTTTACTTGTATTTTTTGTATTTTTTTTCTGTGAAATATCTGTATTAATCAAAAGATCATTAAGGTTATCTAAAGATGCTATTTCTTAATTATTGCGAGTACTTTTAGTATTTATACTAATTGTATTTATTTTTTTAATTGCATGTTTCTTTGATTTTCTAAAAGGATTCATGGTTATTTAATAAAAGCAAAGAGAAAAAAAAATACATTTTAAATAAATTGCTTATATTTTTTATTATATAAAATTGTAACATAGCATTAACCTTTTTTGTTGATCAATTACTAAATTTAGTTAATAATGTATTCATATGAAAGTATATGATTTACTATCAAAATTAACTTTATTTTTCTTTTTACATAATCATCATTACTAAATTTAGTTGTAGTATTAAATGAAGAAATCAATTATGTAGTACTAAATAAAGAAATTAACTATGTAGTACTAAATGAAGGAATCGACTATGAAAATGATTATAAGATGCCAATTAAAATTGAAACTGATTTTGAAGTATCCAATAATGATTTTTTCACTGAGGAAGAATTATCTGAAGATGAATTGTTCAATAAGAGATCTTATGAAAACTTATTTGATGACAGTGATGATGATGATGAAAATTTTAGCGAAGATGAATTATCTGATGATTATGAAGAATCTAATAAGGATGAATTATCTAGTGATAATGATGACGATGAAGTACTGAATAAAGAAATATCAGATAAAATCATTGATAAGGCGTTAAGCAATGAACAAATGCCTTATACCAATGAAGAGTTCACACTGTATTTCAAAAACATTATCGAAGCATTAATGTTTTGTTAGATTCAAAAATATAATATATGTAAGGATTAATTTAATGATTTATTTATCTTTATAATTATTAAATTAATTTTGTTCTATTATTATACTCAATAGCTACTTGAACTTATGATAAGCTAGTAAATATAATTCATTATCTACAATTCAAAAGTGAAGATATCGTAATAAATATTCACCAGTTTAAGAAGTATTGACAAAGATTACCTTTACTTCCTATCAAATTACGTAAAATTTGTATTTCAAATAAAAAAATCTATCAACTTTCTGAAAAATCAAGGATATGTATTATTTATTCATTATAGATATAATTTGCCATGCTTTCAACAATCGTTCAATATTTAGCCAGATGTATTTTAACTCAGGTCAAACGGTTAAAAGAAATCTCGAACTCTGACAGAAATTTATGGAAGGAATCTTCACAATTTGGATGTGCATTTATTCGAATTAATAGAGATAATTAAATATTAACATTTTGTATACAAACAACATTTATAATAATACTAAAATAATGACTGATTTATTAAATATTACTTTATTTCTAAACAATAGTAATAAAAACAATAGCTATTGTAAATATTATTCAATTTTTTAGTAATATACAATTGTGGGAATTTTGTAGTTTATAGAAAAATAATGATAAGAATTGGTAGAATTTTAGTAATAGTGAAAATACATGGTGAACTTAAAATAACAATCCAACGCGTTTTAAGGTTTGATGAATTGCTGAATAAATTACAAAGTAATAATTGCAAAGAAAGGTTACATGTTAAAGTGTGATTGTTAAATCGAGAGATAGAAAGTGTGATTATAACTATTGAATTACATGAAATCATCAAACATGCTACAGTTGGTTATACTTTACAATGAAGATACTAATAATGAAGTTTCTTCAATTATTATTTAGGAAATTCTTTATAAATATCATGATCATTAGAAGTTAAGAAACGTCATGTATTCTTATCACCATCCTTCAGAATTCACTCTATTAGAAGAATTGCCAACACATCTTTCGGTATATAAGTTATATATTAATATATATTATGATAACTTTAGAACGTTCTGTAATGTCTATCATTCACTAGGTAGCATTTACGTTCAAATTGAAAATATAGAATTTAAAGAGAGAAAGAAGTTCAAGAATCATTTCGTGCTCAGTTTTATTCCATTCAGTGATCACTTTGATGAATTCATTAGACCTTTTATTAACGAGATGAAGAAACTAGAAAAAGGAATAGTAATAGATGTACAAGAAAGTAAAAGTCTAATCATTGTAAGTCTAGGAGATATAACTATAGACTTGCTTCAAGGAAACGATTTAGCTGGAGTTAAGAGGTATAGTGCTATAAGAGGTGTCGAACTTGTAATGCAAAAAAAGATTTTTGAACTTCTGATAGTCTTGATTTATCATTTATTTCTCATTATCATTATCTTATAGATAATCAATTTAAAGAAATTTCTGTAGCTTTAATGATAATGAAGTGTAAAGAGTTTGCAATAGAATATGAGTTGCGCATTCAGCCACCAATACTTGACCAATTAAAAAGAAAGAGATATCTTCAGTTACCACAAGATATTTATCATGTTACAGCTAGAAAAGTATTACAATTTTTTAAAATAACAATTAAAGCATTTTCACAAGAAGGAAAATCAGAATTCATCTTGTTTTGAAAATTGTTTGAATATTTAAGAACGTGGTAAAAGCTACCAAATCTAATATTTCACATCAATAGTTTTATGATGTCAGATTGTTTACATCTGACTATAATGTTCTCATTTATTTTGAATAAGTTCTTAAATTATAAACACTTCAAACAATCTGAAATCAATAAGCTCTAAGCATGAACAGGTGTTTTTTGTAATAATTCAGCTGTAAAACTGTGGTTAAAATATTAGATACTAATGGCGAAGACAACGGTAATGGCGTTTAAGCATTCTTTTACAGAAGAAGATTACATTAAATTGCGTGAATGTTTAGATAACGAAAGAACTTTATTTTTACAAGTAATTACAATTTTTATTTTATTAATGAATATAATCAATAATTATAAATTATGCTAATTACTATTTTATTATCACTATTTTATTAATTTACAAAACGTACAGGCATTCAAAAATTTTGAGAATCTTCTGAATTTGCATGTTAATTATCATTTGGTACAACATGCTAAAAATTATATGATATTGTTAAACACTGGTATTGAAACGAAGGAGATAATCTATTGAATATTTAAAAATATTATTCTACAAATAAATCAGAAAAACATAGACCTTGACTTGTTAAAATGCTACAATATATTATTTGTGATGCGTTATTTATTTGATAAAGGCATTGATAGTTGATTTTCTTTTACAAATAATGCTAACAATGCCTTAACGATCCTTCTGCATTATTTAAAATGATTATTAGATGATTGGTTTATTATCAAAAAACTTGAGGAAGATATAAGCGAAAGTTTGATTAAATATTTATTATATTGATTTGTATAATATTTTCCTAATTAACAATTTTTTTATATTATTTATTAGCTGAACGTATTTTAAATATATATCTAAAGAAGCGTATACCAAGGAGAAAGACTGAAAAAATTTGCCTAATGATTTCATTTTTTGTAGAGAACTGGTATTAGCATATCGAGATATGGCTATAAAATGATATTTTGTAAAAGTCAGTATCAACATTATGAACTTACTTGTTCAGTAGATGATGATAGTATTAACATGCAATATTGTCTGCATGTTGGTGATACTATCGCAATAATTTTCAAAGAAAAAGAAGAAGAGGGTAAAAGTTTCGCAATTGTACGATCTATTTTTAGTCATGAAAAAAATAATCAACACTTTGCTTTTATTATTATCAATAGGTTTGAAATTACTAATTTAACAAAATTGAGATATCTGGTATATAGGCTACAAGATATGCGGCAGATATGTTCTATTAACATAGTTAATACAAATAGTACTATACATTTTGTTCATTATTGTAATGATAATGAATGTAATAGTAGCAGACATAATTTTGAAAATAATTTATATATAAGAAAAACATATTTCTTCAAAGCTGTTTAATATAAGATAGAACTTCACTGCGAGATGTTAGATTAATTTTATGCATCATATACTAATTAGCATTAAAATATTAAAAAATAATTTACTAATTTTAAAAAAATCTTTATTAAATTCTTTTTAATGTATTTACAAAAATTTAAATATGTTTACTATTATTTACTAAATAAATTTATGATTTATTTAATAATATTTAACAACTTTGATAATAAACTTTTTTCTAGTCATCATCGATCATCTTAATGCGCAGTAACTACATATAAATCAATACTTTACGATATTATAACAAAACTATTACTAATCAAGTATACTATTTAGTCACGATATGGTTACAGGGTTTTAATTATTAAAATATTTCTGTAAAGTATGGGGGATTTGCTAGGAAAATAGAGCTCTAAAACCTTTTCACCAAAATTAAAATTTTTACTTTATATTAATTTATACTATAATAACTTTAACTAGTTAAATTTTTAAAGTATTTTAACTTAATATTAAAAATGAATAAAAAGCAATTGAATTTTTTACATAAAAATCTAAAAATAGAATTTGAAAATGATAAACATGATTAATATACTTTTAGAAAATTATTGACATAATTTAATATTTTATATTATATTATATAATTTAATTTTAAACACATATTATAAATCACATGATTTAAAATTATAAAAATAGATTGTCTTAACATTAAGCTCAAATTTTGTTTATCATATTATACAAATTAGAAATTAATCTCAAAACCCTTTTTTCTAGCAAACCTCCTATATAATCTATAATATAATATAGTATATTTAATTTTAGGTTTTTAAATTTTCTAAAATAAGTTAAAAATTGTAGAATAATGATCAAAAATATAATAAAAGTGAATGTGTTGTCACTGTTATATATATTATTAAAAATGATTTATGTGTTTAATATAAAAATTTTCAAAAAATTTTATTCAATATTATTTATTTAAATAATAGTTAAGTACCTAAGTAATATTAAATAAAAAAAATAAAACCAATTAAATTAAATATTAAAATAAGAATAATTTAGATAAAACTAAATTATATTTAATTTATTATCTGATAGTATTATATAAAAATATTAGTAAATTAATCTACAGATTTGTTATTTAATTTATGAAATATCTATAAATATTTACAAATTATTTATAGATAAATTTTATAAATTTATAATATTTAAAAATAATCTGAATATTTGTGTTATCTGAATATTTATATTCTTTATATAAATTATCATCTACAAATTATTTCTTGATATACAGAAGGCCACTAAAAGTCTTCAAA